TCTCAAGAATATTTTGTAATTTTTTTCTTTTATGAATTTATTATTTTGCAACTCTTTTCTTTGGCCATTTTAAGCAACACATGGCATTCGCTAGCAAATATTTGTCACTAAACTATGTTGGGATTTGATTTTCTAACATAGTCACATGCAACCAACATAATTGTAAATTAGTGGTTCTCGTTTGTTATTACGTTGTTTGGTGAGTGATGATGAGTCATCATCATTTGGCATGTCACAAACACTTATATTAGGTTTACATCTCTTCAACAACATCTGTCAAATAAATCAATAAATAAATAATTCCACAAATTAGGAGCCATATTTTTTTAATTTTTTTCTAGTACAAATTAATTTAATTTTTGTTACTTTTCCACATTTACCAAACCTTTGAGTAAATAAACTATAACAAAATATGCCAATTCCTTATTAAAGAAGGTATCTATTACCCTAATAACCCTATACTAAATTTTGGTATTTCATTTATTAAGCTAAACATTTATATATAAGTATTTTGTCAAATTTGTAACAACCAAATATTAGGCAAAAGTTAACTGTTGAGGTTGGCATTTTAATTCCACGTGTCAATGTTCTTTTATTTATGCTAATGGCCCTTTCAAATATAATATTCTTTCACCAAAATAGAGTTCAGCGTTGTTTGGAATCAATCAGCCATTGTCGATTTTATCCTGTTGCATTAATCAAATTATTTCAACTATAATTCTACCAAATTATTTGTTTATATTGAATGATTTTAAGGGTTCGAATCAATATCAAAATTATTTGCTTCTATCCGCCGACTCCGATTCGAAATTTTCCGATTTTGGAATTGATAGTTTTCAATCCAAATATGGAAATTCCAACTTTCAATTTTTACGAAATTACTTGGATTAGAATTGAAATATATATATGAATTTCGATTTCAGATCCGATTAAAGTTTCAAAAATAATTCCAAAATTTTCGATTTTTTCCCGGATATTACAATTAAAATACAAATATTATTATTTGAAAATTCCGGATTCCGCTGGTTCCTATCCAAAAACCTTCAATTTTGGAACAAGTTTTTGCGTTCCAATTTTCGAAATTCCGATTTCTGATTTTTTATGGAACGAAACTGAAACTAGTTTTTCACTTCCGAAAAAATTCAGATTTTTTTTCCGAAATAAGGCTAATTCCGATCCGATCCGTCCAATTTATACCTAATAGCCACTATCGATCTCACATTTTTTTCCCTCTCACGATCTGAATTTATCTCCTCTCGTTCCTCCAAAGAGCAGCCACCCATATCTTCTTTCTCCAAACTGCCACCGCCATTGCTCCTCCATAATTGTGTTCTCCCAAATAATTCACGACACCAATCGCGTTGATGTGAGTATCTTTGAATATCTTGTTTGGATCGCACTTTGTGGTGGTTTGATTTTCTGAGACGAATATTGATACATAAGAACATACAATTATAATTTTCGATCGTCTGAGGCGATTTTACGCATCAATATTCCTTAAAAAGAACATACAATTATAATTTTCGTTTAGGTACCGAATTAAATGAACCTAAGAACATGGGAAATTGACAAATGTATGGCAAATTATGAACAAAGGAACATGTTTCTTTCTTTCGATTTCATTCAAAGGGATAAGATAATAAAGGGGAATATGATCCAAGCCACTTAAAAATAGCTTACAAAAATTTATGTAAAAAAAGAAATGAATGAAAAGGAAATCTAAAAGCGTGCCAACGAGTTTGCCTCAAAAGATAGGGACCCATGTCAGCAATTTTGCATGTTCAAATGGGACCCACTTACCATATTAAATTAATTAAATAACGTTAAATTTATGGTTAAATACAGTTTGCACCCTTAAAGTATGACGTTTGCCTTGCCGAAGTATATATATTGTAAAACTTTGCCCCTTAACTATCATAGAAATGGCACATTAAATTTTAAAGGGTAAATTACAAACACCCCCTGAGGTATGGTCAAATTACAAAAACACCCCTCTTGTTTGGATAATTACAACCACCCCCTCAACCCCTCAAATTTAGTGAAATCTTCGAGATTATATGGAATATTATCACTTTTGTACCCATTTTATCTCATTCAAACTCTACATTATGAAGCAAGATGGTCATAATATGTGATTTTTAGCTTGTATATATCAGTTTTTGGTGCATCGGAAACTGTATTTTTACACAAAATGAGTACAAACTAGAGCAAATTTCACGGAATCTAGATGATTATGTTGAATTTGGCACCATAAGGGTGGAGGTGTAAGAAAAAATCATAGTTGAGGGGGGTAGATGTAATTATCCAAACAAGAGGGGAGTTTTTGTAATTTGACCATACCTCAGGGGGGTATTTGTAATTTACCCAATTTTAAATGACACTCATACCTTTCAAATTATCATTTATTATTGAATAATTTTTTTAATTTAACTATCTAATTAGAAATAATAATTGAAAACGGCAATGCATTAATTTTTATTTTAAAATTATCTCAACTTATTGAATGGAATAGTTTAAAGAAAAAAGATTGATTCGCATGCTCATAAGAAAATTCATTTACTTGCAATTTCAAATTTGCAGTTTGAACTGTTCAAACAAATTAATATATCATGCACCAACAATTAACGAAACTCGAAATCCAAAAAAAATCGACCCTAACCTTTTGAACGTACCTTCTTAACAAATGAATTATAGCTAGGGGTGCAAGTTGGAACGGAAATTCCGATTTCCGCCGGTTCCGATCCGAAAAGTTCCGATTTTGGAACAAGTTTTTTCATTCCGATTTCCGAAATTCCGATTTCCGATTTTTTCCGATTTTTTTGGATTGGAATTGGAATTATATAAAAAAAAATTGGAATTTCCGATTTCCGATCCGATTATTTCCGAAATTAATTCCGAAAAAAATCCGATTTTTTTCCGAAAAAAAACCGATTTTTTTCCAAAAAATACATCTTTGAGTAATATATATATATATATATATATATATATATATATATATATATATATATATATATTATATTATACTTATTTTACATTATTTAGTTGTATTTATTCTTTATGGGCCATGTCACCTAAAAAAGCCCTAGTTTATTTTATGTAAAACCCTAGTTTTACGTTTATTATTTCTTGTGCAAAGCTAAAGAGTTTATTTAATTTTTGCTAGAAGTTTTATTGGAAATTATGATGTCGTTTATTTTTATTTATTTTTTGAATTGAAATTTATTAGTTATTTTTATCGACGTGGATGTTTTTGTTTTTAGCAAATTATGAAATTTTCAGCGAAGTTTCGAAATTTTAATACTTATGTCATTTCCGAAAAATTTCCGAAATTCCGAAATTTCCGGGCCTTTTGGAATTGGAATGAATTTTTAGATTCCGAAAATTTTGGAATTGGAATTGGAATTGATTTTGTACTTCCGAAATTTTTTGGAAATATTTCGAAAAGGCTAATTCCGATCCAATCCTTCCGACTTTCAGCCCTAATTATAGCATATATTTATACTGAATTTGTCGGGCTAAAATTAATTGAGAGTAATTGTCGGACTGAAACCTTAAACTTTATTTGAAGGTGATTGAACCTATGTTATAGTAGTCTTCAAACTTGTGCTCGTGCCCCAATAAGTTAAGAAATTGTAGGCAAATTGGGCCGATCCAATTAGGCATATCATCGCGTCTGTAAAAAGTAAACTATGTATTAAAAGTGAAACTATGTATTTCCATATATATATATATATATAGTATATATATATATATATATATATATATCCTAAGAAACTATTGTTTTTATTTTTACATCTAAAATAATCGGAAAAAAAATTAAATAATTATGGAATATATATTTAAATAGTTCATATCGTGACAATTGTGTTAAGGATTTCATAGGACCACACCATCTTAATAGTCTTTTCTATTCAAACAAACCGGTCCTCGTCGTGGAGGACCATTTCTTGGAAATTGATTGCATTTTAATTCACATACTATTCGATTTTATATATAATTTGAAATTTACTGATTTGTCATAGTTAAACTAATATTAATATATATTATTTTAATAATTAACTGAAATACGAATTAAACCATTTGAAATTTGTAATAGGAGATGTTGAAAGATCTAGGTGTCTAAATCTAAATAATCTACAACAAATTGTTAGAACCAAAATCTGGTAAGAACTCGAATCTGATATATGTTCTAATTTTAGTCAACAAAACTTTGTAAAGATTGTAATCCTTACTTTTAAGATTCAAAAAAAAAAAAGGGGTTAAATGCAAATTGCATACTTGTATTATCACCACTATTGCATATATCTCTCTATATCATAAAATGCAATAAATGTAGCCCTCTCATCGATTCATGTTAAAGAATCCGTCTCTTTTCAAAGTTGACCGACCATTGCATTAGATGCTGGACAATTTCGGACGAAAACACCCCCCTAATTGTGTATAAAAAGTGCATCTTTCTTTCTCTCTTGTACTTAATTTACTCCAATTTTCCTTTTTCATGTTTCTTCCCTAATTTAATTTTCCAACGACCAAAAAATTTCTAAAAAAAATTATATTCTGAAAATTATTTATAATTTCCTTTTAAATTTATGAAAGTTTGCAATTTTGTTCCCCATCAAAAAATTTCACCCAAAATTTATGAATTTCTTTTATTCTGGATAATTTTTTTTAATTTTTTTAAAATATTATAATTTAATTTTCACCCCAAAATATCTCGATTGTTCCCCGTAGTCCTAATTCTCAAAATTCATGCATTTCATTCTTTTACATCTAAAAACTACATGACATATTGTTCAAGAACCACTTCTCGATGAAACTGGAGTGATACGTAATAAAGTAAAAAAAAAAATGCATATAATTGTAAGGATAAAAAAAGTTATTACGCTACATAAACTAACCATGTTATAGATTTTATGGTTGACCGTTGAGTCGAGGGGCTACATTATCGCATTTTGTAATACAGAGGAGTATAAATGATACTAATGATAATAAAGGGATATAATTTGTATTTAACCGAAATATGATTCGAAAATTTAAATCAGAATCTACAAAATTCAAAAATTGGGTGGCAAATTTGAAATATCAGTTAATAGGAAAATGGGAGAAAGCCCAACAGCGAGAGTGAAAATAGGGAATAATGGATAACCGGATAATCAAAGAAACTATGGAGGTGGGACCCATCCCCACCATTTCAGCCCACCATTCTCAATCTCTCTTACACCTTCTGAAATCTCTCTATAAATAAGTGTTGAAGATTTCTTTGCATAGGGCTTAGAGCATCTCACACTCACTCTCTCTCTCTCTAGAATCTTCTTCTTACTTTCTCTCTCTACACCAAAAAAAAGGCAATCAATCAATCAGTTGGACCCCATCGAATATGGTTAGGCCAATTAAGTTTCTGTGTAGCTACGGCGGCCGGATTCTCCCCCGTTACCCTGACGGCAAGCTCCGTTATAACGGCGGCGAAACCCGCGTGCTCTCCGTCGACTCGTCCGTTTCATTTTCCGGTTAGTTGCCGTTTGCTTTACACGTGTCAGTGGTGTGATTTTTTTTTCCGGAAATGAAATGAAAGATCCTTTTTATTGGGATTTTGTTTTTTTTTTTTCTATTTATAGAATTGTTGGCGAAAATGGGTGAGATTTGTGGATCTACCGTGAATCTGAGGTGCCAATTGCCGGCGGAAGATCTGGACGCGCTTGTCTCGGTCACCTCCGACGAAGATCTCGCCCATCTTATTGAGGAATACGATTGCGCCGCCGCCGCGGCGGCGGCGCCGATCAAAATTAGGGCTTTTCTCTCCGCACCTAAAACCATTAACAAGGTGTCTCCGCCAAAATCGCCGTATTCATATTCCGTCGGCGGCGGCGGCGGTATGCCGCCTAGATGTCCGACATCGGCGGGGCGGCGGTGCCTTCGGAGTGCAGTACGGCCGGCGCCGGCGTACCCTGTTTTGAGCGGGAAAATTGGGGGAAGGATTCCGAATCAGTATAACAGTGTATCGAGAAATGGTTGCCTTGTTCATCTGATTCACAATGGGAACCAGTGGCAGTAGTAGATAATAATAATTATTTCCGGTGAACCCTAATTTACTTTTGGGAGTGAATTTCAGTGGAAATCATCTACTAGTATAGAAAAGGAAAATAAGAGGAAATATTATATTATTATATATATATATATATATATATATAGGAAAAATAGTATTTTTTTATTTTTATTTTTTATGTAAGATGCATATATATATATGTGTAATATATATGTGTGTGTGGGGTAAATGAATGTATGTGTTGATCAAAGAGGGGATCCATTTTTTGTAGATACCACTCTGCGAGGAAGATTAATATAAATTTTCCATGTTGATTTTCTTGATTTTGTGAATGATGTCAATATATTTCAAGTTAGAATCATGTCAAATTCATTTAAAAAATTAATCGAAATATCATAACCAGTGCAATAAATATAAGGATATTCACAATATCCATTTACCATTTAAATTATGTTAATATATAATACCTTTTAAGTAAATTATACAAAAACAAATTGCTGTTCAAAAACAATAAAAAATGGTTAAAATAGATATTTTCACTACGTGATCTTGAAAATATAAGTAATTAACTTAAGAAACATGAAGTTTACGATATACATTTGATTAGAATGATATAAAACTTCATATGTATTTGAACAATTCATCAATGGTCAATTATGGTTACTCCTTAAATGTAAGGTCAAATTACGAAAAAAATCATCATATTTGGGTAACTATAATTACCCCATGAACTATGAATTCTTACACATCCATGCTTGTAGTGCCAAATTTAGTCGAATCTCGTAGATTATGTGGAATATTCTTTAGTTTGTACCAATTTTATCTCATTCGAGCTTCACACGTTGAAACAAGATGATGATAAGATGCGTCTCTTGGTTTGTAAATATCAAATTGTGGTGAAGATTTCGATAAGATATTCTTAGTCTAGAAAATTCTGTTGAAATTGACATCATAAGGGTGTACACGTAAGAAAATTCATACATGAGGAGCTGGCTGTAACTATAGAAACATGATGGGGTTTTTCGTAATTTAACATTACCTCGAAGATGGCCGGAATTTACTCACTAAATAGTGAAATTATATCGTATGTTGTTTAATACTTAATTTTAAATGCCAAATCAACCATTTACTCATATTATATTGATTTAAAAATAATATATATTTTTAATATTTATATATGGTCGGGTATACGTTATAAAATGGTGATGGTTTGTATTTCTTCTCCTAAAATCATTAATCATCTATTTATTTGATGGAACTTTCGATAATGTGACAAATTAATCATCGTTATCTCTTGAATATTGACCAGGGAGTATATATACAAAAATATATCCAAATACTTTCCCCTATCTTATCTAAATTGCCTATTTTGTTTGCTTGTTCATAAAAGCGTCGATGTGCATGTAATTAAAATGTAAATCACCTCTTTATAAAAAAAAAAAGAAAAAGAAAAAAGAAAATTTGACAAGTAATAAAATAAATACATAATAATAGTGTTATTTAAAATATGAAGTTTTCAAAAAAAAAAAAATGAAATTTTCGAGGACCAAAATGAAATCGAAATTCAGAATCTAATATGTGCTCAATTCCATTCTGAAAATCGAAAATAGGAAATTTTCAGATTTCAAAATGAAAAATATAGTACTAAACCAAGAATATTCTTATCGAAATCGACCAAAATAGAAAACACCATTTCAATTTACTATGTTTCACTGTTTTCTCAAATGAACACACATATTACAATTAGTATATTTAATAAATAAATAAATCAAAACCTTTTTTTAAAATATAATTGAAGCAACAAGATGATTTATATTGGAAAAACTACAGTTATCATCCCTCAAGTTTGAACCGATTTCACAGTTGGACCCCATATTTACAAAAAAAACTCATTTGATCCCTCATGTTTTAAAAATTCAACATTTTTAGTTAGTTCCGTCAATTTTCTGTTAAAACTAACAATAAACAAACATGTGCACATCACTACCGTAACCGACGTACTAAGGGTCCAGTAAACTGACAAAAATGACCAAATTATTAAAATTATTGAAGCATGAGGAACCAAGTGTATTTTTTATGAACACAGGGGACCAAATGTTGAATTGTTGCAAATTTGAGGGATGAAAACTGTAAATATCCCATTTTATATTCTTTTCCCCTGTATGTAATTTCTAAGATCTGCAAATACCTCGTATACGACGTCGTCACTTGTCACCACCCCCACCCCCACCCCCACCCCCCACCAAAAGTAAACGAGAAATGAAATTGAGAAGAAAAATCAACGATTTCATACTTGTATGATCAAACCCACTCTACAAATACCAATTCCACAACTTCCCACAAATTCCCAATGTTGAATTATTCGTCTCGCATCTCTCTTCTCTGAAAATTTTCACAAATTATGGAGAAAAATACCGGCAAGGAGTTTGTGGAGGTTGAACTCACCGACGGCGGCGTTGATAACGACGACGCCGGCGTCGACGAAGAGGTCGTTAGGGTTTTGAGAGAAGCCCTAACCGAAGGTAAGGTGATCCAAAGAGTTGACCTCTCCGGCCGCCACCTGAAATTTCTGCCGGAACCCTTCGGCAAGATTCACGCTTTGGTCGTTCTCAACGTATCCAATAATCAACTCGAGGTTTGTTTAATTTAATCCAATTTTTTTTTTAATTGTAAATTAGATGATTTTTTTTAATATTTGTTTTGGTTAAATGATGAAGTGAATTGGTTAATCAGCGAATTGGGGGTGATCTGGGAAGTATTTGTTTGTGTGTATGATTTTCGATTATATTCGATATGATTTTCGATTTTATTCGATAATTTATGCGAAGAGCTCTATTGATAATTTCATGAACTTGTTACTTTAAACATGTTTTTTGTATTCAAACTTCGTATGCATGATTGCCGAAATCCGTTCCGATATGTGAATTTTTCGTTACAGGTTATTCCCGATTCGATCTCGGGGCTGCAGAAGCTAGAGGAGCTCAATGTTTCATCCAACCTTCTAGAAACCTTGCCAGATGGCATCGGCTTATTGGTCAACCTCAAGGTCATCAACGTATCGAGCAATAAACTAAAGAAACTCCCCGAAAGCATCGCCGGTTGCAGGTCTTTAATCGAGCTGGACGCGAGCTTCAACGACCTCATGTTTCTGCCGAAAACCTTCGGCTACGGATTAGTGAATCTCGAAAATCTGTTTCTCCAGTTGAACAAACTAAGAGCACTCCCGAATTCAATCTGCGAAATGAAATCCTTGAAGAAACTAGACGCGCACTTCAACGCGATCCACGGCCTCCCGCACGCAATCGGCCGCCTCGTGAATCTCGAAATCTTGAACATGAGCAGCAACTTCAGCGACTTAACCGAAGTGCCCGACACGATCGGTGATTTGGTCAATTTAAGAGAGCTCGATTTAAGCAACAACCAAATCCGAGCTCTACCCGAGACGGTTTATCTTCTTCAGCGTTTGGATAAGCTTAACTTGGATCAGAATCCACTCGTAATCCCTCCGATAGAGATTGCGAATCAAGGGGTCGAAGCTGTAAAGGAGTACATGTTGAAGAGAAGGCTCGATATTTTGGAAGCTGAGCAGAAGCAGAGTTTGCTGCTCGCGGAAAAAGGAGAAGCTGACGTGGGGTGGGTTGCTTGGGGAACAAGCATGTTATACAACGTCTCGAATACTGTCGGAGGCTATGTGGGAGGAAACGCACCAAAGGATCCGTTTCTTGATCAACAGTTGTGAGTGGAGATTATATGTTTTTCGGTACGTTGCTTCGTGTTTCTTGTTATATGTATTTGCATGCGAGTATATTTTATAATTGCTGAATTAGGGTGTCTGTTGTACGAAACTCTTGTGTAAAATACGTGGTTTTTTGCATTTTCCGGCAGATGAATAAAAATCTGATCTTTTTCGTTACAAAATTTGCGATATCCAGATGATTAATCTTTTGTCGACATCTTCGTGTTTCTTATTAAATTTATTGCCTGTGAGTCTTAGTATAATTTCCGATTTCGGATTGGATTGTATGAAACTCTTGTTTGGATATGTGATTATATATTTTTTTTACCAGCGGAGCAATAAAATTCAGTCTTTTTGGTTATAAATTTACGATTATCAGATACTCGTTCTTGTCGAGTTTTTATCCTCATTGGGTTTAAAAGCACTTAATTTAGAGAGACGAAGATCGAAAAACGAGTGATAAGATCATTTTTTCCGACTGCAATTTATCTGAATACACAACAATTGGACTACGGACTGTGTGAACACCAACAAACCATTCCAACGAAGCCGATACCATTTCTTCCACATCGATCTTTCCACTTATAGTAACCTCAAAAGATTTCTTCTTGTTTAATTCTCCAAATACGAGTATAGAAGGTTCCACCCATATGTAATTATCCGAACTTCGCTTTGTTCATGCCTTGTACGGTTAATTCAGAAGCCCTACATTTGTGACCGTCCTTTTAAATATCTCCGAAAGCGTTCTTCCACTTGTTGCAGGTGAAGCTTTTGCCACCTTTGCAAGATCCTTTCCATTTCTTGGGAGGGGGGCCGAGGCCCCCGCTGTTTAAACTAATGGAATCGGGCCAAAGCCCGGTGTCGATTACGCCGATGATTATGTCGCTCCTGATTGTGGGATTTCGATAGACATTTTGAGTGAATTCCATGATCTTCGTGTTTGTGGGTAATAAGTTGGAAAAATTGATACTACCTCTGCGTGACGTGATCATTGTGAATAACGGTGCTCGAGATGGGACGAGCGAAATGCAGGAAAATAGACGAAGAAAGTAATTAGCCATGGTTGTAATTAAACAAAGCTTTGGTGAATATTAACTATACCATCCTCTTCTTGTGTTTGTAGAATAAATCCAATTGTTTGTTTACTAAAAATAAAATAAAAAAAATCCAATTGTTTGCAACTGTTATTAATACTTGGATTAGGGTAAATTCCACTTTTCCAGTTTACATTGGTTGGATATCACTTTACCACTCCTACTCTCGATTGCATCGATCTGCCCTCCTCACTTGAAAAATTGTCTCAATGTGACCTTCGTTGTTAACTTACTTTTAACCTTAACACCGTTTGGTCTAAGGTCTGAAAATTACAAAAAAACCACTCCTCCCAATTTTAATAATTAAAAAAAAAATTAGGCTATTTATTACCAGATTTTTTAACATTTCAGTTTTTGTTTTTTTTTTTGTTAATTGACAAGATTTCTTTTTTTATATAAAAAATGAGGCTATTTAAAAAAAAATGTTTGCATTTACCAATTACCATAAACAGCGGCGAGTTAGATGCTACACTTGGTTATTGATACTTAGGGGTGGCAATTTCTCAATTTGGACCGGATCCGATCCGGATCCATGTGGATCGGATGCAAAAGGAACCGGATCCAATATCAACCTACATGAATGGATTTAATGTGGATCGAGTTTAGACCGATCCGGATTGGATTCACATGGATTCATTGCATCTATAATTCAACTTATGAGGTTGAATATCTCAACTTTTAGGGTTTAATATCTCAACTTATGTGGTTTAATATCTCAAGTTTCACAATTACACATATTCACACACACACCTATACACATACACATACACACTTACATGCACATACACACTATATGTTTATATATATATATATATTTACATTTATATACATGTTTATATACACACACACATACACTCACACACACACACACTCACATACACACACACATAAAGGTGGAGGTCTAAGAAAAAATCATAGTTAAAGAGGGTAGATATAATTATCCAAACAAGAGGGGGATTTTTATAATTTGACCATACCTTAGAGATGTTTGTAATTTACCCTTTATTTTAATTATTGTGACTGGATTAAATTGAATTTAACTAGATGAAGCAATTGAGATACTATAATTACTCATATTGTGTATGTGTGATTATGCACAAATCAAGGACTAATAAATAATAATCAGCCAATATATTTCACAGGATCTAGCAATCAAAATAAAATGGTTAGAGAAATACTCGCCGATTTGAAATGTCAAATCTATCTTACCTATTCTGAAATGGTAGAATTATTCTACCACTATAACCACTTCTTCTCTACGTATATTTATATTTATCTCTCATTAAATTCACCATATTTTCTGAACAAATCGTAACTTTTTTTTTTTTTTTTTCTGTGCAACCAAAACCCTAGTACTCATGAATCGTCCAATCATTATCAAGGTAATAATTTTTTTTTTTAATTTTTTAATTTTCTCTCTAATTCGACTTTCTACTGCTGATACTTTTTGATTTTGTTTTTGTTTTTTCCGCTATTTTTTTAATTTTATTCATATATCGCACTCAATTCTGATATGTATTTCGTAATTTGATCATATCTCAGATTACTTGTATAATATTTTATAAAGTGTTCTATTTTTATTGTGATTTAAAAAAGCTACCATGGTTGCCTGCAACTTCATGTGTATACAGTAATTTTTATTTTATTTTAGGTTTCATTTTTAAATTCACATGTATGTTCGGTTTCGGTTTCGATCTTTGGTTTTCGGTTTCGGTTTCGGTTTCGCTAATCCCTAAACCATAACTAATTTTGCAAAAAAAAAAAAGAAGAAAAAAGGAAAAGGGCAAAAGAAAGATTTCGAAATCTTCGCCTTTTTTGCACATCAAGAAATTATTTGTAACAGTTGTTCTTAGTACAGGCACAAAACTTGAGAATTAATGCAGCCCTCGAAAAAAGCGATGCAGCGGGACGCGAATCACTTCCCGAACCGAATTCTTGTTCGTCACCCAACGAATGGGTCCTTTTGGAGGATTCATCATCTTGTACGAATTATGCTAATACAGAAGAAGCCTTCGAATCGGGTTATAGTAATAAAAGTTTTTTCACGAGAATCCGCAATAAGTTAGTCCGAAAATCAGCTTCTCTAGCTCGGAATAAACTAGTCGAATGTCCGTCCAAGAATCGAGACGGTGATAGCGTCTCGATGGATAATTCAGAATTAGCTAAAAAGTCCGACGAGGATCAACGTGTGAAATGTCCAAATTGCCCTCGAGACCCGGCTGGAGATTGTTCCAAGAACTGTGATGTAGTACCGTTGCCCCAACACTACGCTCGTAGACTTTTTAACTGTCGATTTTTGTTGGATTTGAATGAATCGAAGTTTACTACTGTGGCTCCGAACGAAAGGTTTAGCAAAAAAATCAGGCTGCTTAACAATGGTTCGAGACCGTGGTCTCGTAAGTCGAAGCTTGTGTGGGTTGATGGTGATCGATTAAGTGATGAAATCTCCGTCGAAATAGAGGTAAGAATTTTTTATTATTTTTTTTCCGCTTTTTTTCGTAGTAATTGGCCTTAATTCCGATAAAAAAAATCATAAGTTGATCCGATTGTTTATCAAGATTCCGTTTGATGGCCGCCCCATTGGCTCAGAAATCGACTTGGTGGTAAATTTTAGAGCTCCGGAATTGCCAGGCGATTATATCTCCTTTTGGAATATGTCGTTGCCTAGTGGAGCGGCATTCGGGGAGCAAATACCGATTCGAATTTGGGTAAAATTTGTTGGTTTTCACCTCACTATAGGCATTAACTTTACCCTCTTTTGATCATTTTTTTTTTTTGCAGGTGTATGATCTACCGGAGATTACGTAAAAAAATATATATATACATTTATTGAATCGCAATTAATAATGTGTCTCCGTTGTGGTAGGATGTGTAAATAGAGACGTGATTTGAGTCGTCGAGGAAAATTGCATCCCGATAATTGCAAATAATTACGCAGATCATTGACTCTGTTATTTTTTTCATTCAATTTGAATTATTATTTTTTTGAATTTTTGATTGATTTTGGTGACATTGTTAAATGAGTGACTCAAGTTTTATGAAGATGTTTCTCATTTAGTATTTCAAACATGTTTTTATAACCAAGTAGTCTCTTGTCCTTCAAAGAAAATGAAGACCCGGGTTTTTAATTTTTGGTTCGGTTTTTCGGTTTGTGAATCGGTAGAAGAAGATTTCAAAATCTTTGCCCTTTTAGCAGACATCGTGGATTAAATCGACAAAAATTGAACCAATAATTGGAAATTGCATCATTGTGCATTTTTTTTCCTAATAAAATTTAGGGATTATTAGCAAGCCCCCCTCATCTAGTAAATGTAGTTAAGAAAACCCCCCTCCCAAAAATAATTTGAGAAAACCCCCTTGGTTAGTATTCCACCAAATATTATTTTTATAATTCTAAATCTACCCTTAATTGTCAATATACTATTTTGAAACCCTAATTTCTCTTTCTCAAATTCACCTGCCTTTCACCACCGCCGCTGCCTCTCCCCCGCCGTCCACCGCCTTTCACCACCGCCACTGCCTCTCCTCGCATCCACTCCACCGCTTCACACCTTGCCTCGGCCAGAGAAGGGTTCTGCTCGAGGCCGGCGGCGGTATCGTGCTCTTCCTCGCAGTATAGAGAATCGGAGAAGAATTGAGGGGTGTGGTGGTGTGGTGCCGGAGAAGGACGTGCGGCGGCGGGAAGTGGTAGCGCAATTATTACCAGCACCATGAACGATAATAATCTGCTGAAGAATGCAAAAGCCATTTCTTCATGAGTGATCTTTTTTCCTTTTCTCTGTCAAATCAAGAAATTAAATTGAAAGGAAAACATCAAATTAGTTTTTCTTTTATAAAATGGTATACAAAGACTTGTTCAAATTTCTCTGTTCATGAGTGATGGTAATGATGGTTGTGGCGGCGGTTTTGAGTGGAGGATTGCGATGGGTATGTTGGTGGCGGCGGTTTTGGGTGGAGGATTGCGATGGGTCTGCTGACGGCGGCGGGGGTTTTGGGACGGGGGTCCCAAATTTACACCTATTTTTGGGACGGGGGTCCCACAGGCAGTGGTGCAAATTTTTTTTTTTTTTTTTTTTTTTTTTTTTTACGGACGGCCGACTCGACCCTTGATCACTTTTTCGACCCTGAAAAGTAAAATTCAAATAATAAATTAGAATGCATGCTTATGAGAAAAAAAAAAAAAAAAAAACGAAACGAAAAATTAACGAAAACTACGAAAAACAATAAAACTCGGGTTGCCTCCCAAGAAGCGCTAAGTTTTAAGTCTTCAGCCGGACTTTGCTTTTTGAAATCGTTATGTCCAATCCAACGCCTTGTAGATTGCGCATCCATCCATGAGCTTTGTCACTTCAATTGCAACCGATACAGGGATAGGATTGCAATATGTCAGGGTCCACTTTAGCTTGTAATCTTTCTTAGTTGTAATCAATCGGTACGAAGCCAAGTTGGGATCTTCATCACCCGCTCCCTCAAATTGGTACACAAAAACCTCAAGTCCGCGTATAACCTCCACTTCAAACACATTTGTCTTCTCATCAACCTTTATTGATGCCTTCAAAGCCACGTCAGGAATAACAATAAGATCATCAATTTGAATATTTGCACTAACCACATCCATCTCCTTCTTCTCTTGTTCCGAGATATCTTTGGAGTTGAGCTCGATTGCATTCTCATATTCATCATCCTTAAGCGTCTTCGTAATTTCTTTTTCCCTCTCATCGACACTATTTTCTAGGTCTAAAGGATTTTTCTCACTACAAGTTTCAGACGGATTTTCATTGTTGCAACCATTCTCGATATTGTCTGAAATATTTTCAAGAGACCTTTGGCGCTTGAATTCTTCCAACTGTAACTCCAGTCTCCGGATAGATGCTTGAGTGGATTTCATAAATTCTTCAAGGACGGAATTCAAATAACATTCTTGAACAGTGGGCTCTCGTGGCGTGTTGGTGTATGTGTTCCAATAACCGCCGTTGGTGTTATCTATGAAATTATTCGCTTTCGGTGCATACCAACATTGGTTAGTGTAATGATCTCCACCACATATTGAACAAAGGGACGGCATATCATAGGTATTTTGGAGGTATTCGCCAGACGGAAGCCATTCATATCCCGTTTGAGGTGCGTGAAAATTGTAACCTGACATGTAACCAAAGAAAAAAAAATATATATATATTAAAACGAAAAGATAAAATTAAAAAAAAAATTTAAATTGGGTGAATCGTGAAAATTGTTCAAATTTAGAGCTAGAATAAAATAAATAATTAAAATATTCCCCGGCAACGGCGCCAAAAACTTGTTGGTCGAAAACCTACACGCAAGTGCACGTATCGTACAAGTAATATAGTGGACAATTAAGTCCGGATATCGAACCCACAGGGAATATTTAATTACTTAATCCTAGACGCTAAATTCTACCAATTATTATCAAGCCCACCCTACACAGTCGACTAAGGATTAATAAACTAAATTAAACTAAATTAAAAACAAGCAAAAACAAGAAAGCAATTTAAAATACGAAGATTAATCAAAGTAGACAAGCCTAGGATTTTATTCTTCCCCCTATGTGATTATTACTCCCCCAATTCCTTCAATTATGCAAGCAATTAACCCGGATTATTAACCTGAGATGCTAAAATAATCATAACCCGCTTCCGCGTGTATTACAATTCTAATACTCTAGATTCAATTACTATATTCCTATGCAATTAATTCTAGAACAAAACATTAAGCACAAATCTCAATAATGGCTACCTAAGAGATTAACTATATTCCTATGTTAATACCACAAAGTCTCTTCTACCACAGTTCTAATTATTAACCCGATCTTCCGATTCATGCGATTAACAATAACATAAAAGCGCATAAAGTGGCCAGTTTCATGAACTTAATAAAACAAGTAGAAGAAATAATCCGGAATTAAAACTTGCATAAAATCATAGAATTGGGTTCATAAATCCCACATAGGGTTCCAAATAAAATCCTAGAAATAAAGACTTAGCTACTCGTAATTCTTATGATAAAGAAAATAAAAGAAATAAATTAAATAAGAAAAACTATGCTTGAGTCTTCGTTGATCTTCGTTCCTTGCGTTTTGTGATGTAAAATTTTCGTGCTTATGGTGTAGGGACTTGTTGCTTTTATAGGCTTTTCTTGATAAGGAAGTAGTAGAAACCTAATAGGAATCTATTTCCGCCACTTTTCTCCACCAGGATTTGTTCTTGGATTTTCGCCATGTTGGAGTCCGAATTTAGGAATGTTGCGTAAATAAGAGTTGTAGCCCTTGAAATTAGCTTTCCAATGCCGCCAAAATCAGCTGATTTGGAGTTCGTATGAGAGAGATATGCTCGAAATGGTGGACACTGCCAAAGCTGTGGCGGGATTCCTTCTTCCAATTCGATTTATTTCCTTATTTGCAACTTTTTCCTTTCTTTTTGATCTTTTTTCCTTCATGGACACCTAATTATCGTTTTCACCTATAAAACACAAAATCAATCAATTAAAAGCACAAATATAATTAAATCTAAACAAAAGATCCACGTAAAGTAAACGTATTGAGCGTAAAATTTACACTCAACACACCCCCAAACTTGAACTTTTGCTTGTCCTCAAGCAAAATCTAATCGTAAGCAAATAACTCAACTACCGCATCTCATCACATAGATTAATGACCAACTTCACGTTTTCAGAACTTGTAATTATAATGAAAATTCTTAGGCATTCGCAAGCTCAAAATTCAACAACACTTAGTCACTCACCATTACCAAAAACCACAATTCATACAATTGCTTCAAGCATCCAATATTTGCAAATTAAAGATAGAAAGAATTTATACTTACATGCATATGCTTGACTCCAAATACTCACCAAATTATTCTACTCTACTAATATCGAACATTAAGCTATTGGGATCATTGGGACTTTGTGGCTTTCAATTGTTAGGCTCTTTGGTTCGAGGTAGGAAATATGAGTATATGTGGCTATTTTTCTTGAAATTAGGTGATTACGCCAAAATTTGAAAGATAGGCGTTTGAAACAATGAATTCACCTCTACGGACTTTAGTAAACTCGATTCTCAAAAGTTCAAAAGTCTCCACTTTTGCTTTTGAGGCAAGGGATCGAGTTTTAAAAAAAATAATTCAACAACTAGTCCTTATTTCTCCCTTCTAGTCTCTTCTTCTTCTTCTTTTTCTTTCTTTTTTTTTCTTTTTTTTTTTATGTATATATATAGAAGCAAAGATATTTGTCTTCTTTTTTTTTTCTTTTTTTTTTTTTTTTTTTTTCGAAGAAGAAGAAGGACCTTAAAAAATTTTCGACCGAACTCCAAGGGGTAATTTTTCAAGAATCTCCACCTATTCTACCTTACACATTGGCTAAAAGAAAGAACACCTTTTCTCCGAGGCTCAAATCAAGGTTCTAAGGATAATTTCGATAAAAAGGTCGGCTTGAAAGGCTCAACGGTTCAAAGAAGGCCCAAATCATATCCAAAATCACTCACCACTCAATACTTCGTATCATAAATTTCCTAAGGTGAGTCTTAAAACCGAACATAGCATGATCTAGCACAAATTAATTCCAAATTTAAAATACAAAACATTCAACCAAAGCAATGCACAAAATGTGATTCCTAGCAATAATTCGCTTCTAAGTTCCGTTGAATCGAAAGCTAAACAAACATCAAATCCTTATCATACAAAACAAGCAATCTCATCATCAAACATTGATCATCTCTCATCATCACAAATCATCGATGCATTCGACTCAAGCAATTTTTTTTTTTTTTTTTATATTCCGGAAAAACGGGAAAAACAATAAAAACGAATAAAACCTAATGCATGCAAACTAAAACAAATAAGCACAAAATAACATGTTTTTCACCCCCAAACTTAAAATTTTCGTTGCCCTCAACGAAATTAGCACAAAGTTTAAGGATAGAAAACACCTGATTTAGTCGGAGTCGATGTGATCGGGGTGCACCTCCCTAGCTTTCTCATGCTCCTCATCATCGGAAAGCTCTCTCGCTCCATCTTCATTCGGAATCGTCGATCGGCACGGGAGCTTGAGGCTTCGGGGTCGTCTCGGGCTTGAGGAGCGGCTTTGGAAGAGGAATCGTCGTTTTGGTGGCACTTTTCTTGCCTTTTCCTTTGCATTTAGAAGATGAAGCTTCTTTCGTGCGGCTTCTTTTGTTGGACAAGAAAGTTGGGAGAGAGGTTGGAATAGATTCGTTAAGAATTGGTTGACAATCAAACTCAAAATTTGGTTGGAGCAAATTATCGAACACCTTGTGGGCGTGTCTTGAAAGAGTAGATTTTGAAGATTTTGGTTCGATTCTCTTGCCTCCATTTGTGTGTGGGAGTTTGAGAGAAGGAATGAGGAGGGTTTAGGAAATAATGGGGGAGAAAATCTGATTTTTAAACATTTAAAACGCCCCAAATAGGTTCGGACGGCCGTCCCATTTTTTGTGCTAAATTTCGGACGGCCGTCCGAAATTTTGTCTCCTTACTGGTTTTGGGACGGGGGTCCCAAATTTACACCTATTTTTGGGACGGGGGTCCCACAGGCAGTGGTGCAATTTTTTTTTTTTTTTTTTTTTTTTACGGACGGCCGACTCGACCCTTGATCACTTTTTCGACCCTGAAAAGTAAAATTCAAATAATAAATTAGAATGCATGCTTATGAGAAAAAAAAAAAAAAAAAAAACGAAACGAAAAATTAACGAAAACTACGAAAAACAATAAAACTCGGGTTGCCTCCCAAGAAGCGCTAAGTTTTAAGTCTTCAGCCGGACTTTGCTTTTTGAAATCGTTATGTCCAATCCAACGCCTTGTAGATTGCGCATCCATCCATGAGCTTTGTCACTTCAATTGCAACCGATACAGGGATAGGATTGCAATATGTCAGGGTCCACTTTAGCTTGTAATCTTTCTTAGTTGTAATCAATCGGTACGAAGCCAAGTTGGGATCTTCATCACCCGCTCCCTCAAATTGGTACACAAAAACCTCAAGTCCGCGTATAACCTCCACTTCAAACACATTTGTCTTCTCATCAACCTTTATTGATGCCTTCAAAGCCACGTCAGGAATAACAATAAGATCATCAATTTGAATATTTGCACTAACCACATCCATCTCCTTCTTCTCTTGTTCCGAGATATCTTTGGAGTTGAGCTCGATTGCATTCTCATATTCATCATCCTTAAGCGTCTTCGTAATTTCTTTTTCCCTCTCATCGACACTATTTTCTAGGTCTAAAGGATTTTTCTCACTACAAGTTTCAGACGGATTTTCATTGTTGCAACCATTCTCGATATTGTCTGAAATATTTTCAAGAGACCTTTGGCGCTTGAATTCTTCCAACTGTAACTCCAGTCTCCGGATAGATGCTTGAGTGGATTTCATAAATTCTTCAAGGACGGAATTCAAATAACATTCTTGAACAGTGGGCTCTCGTGGCGTGTTGGTGTATGTGTTCCAATAACCGCCGTTGGTGTTATCTATGAAATTATTCGCTTTCGGTGCATACCAACATTGGTTAGTGTAATGATCTCCACCACATATTGAACAAAGGGACGGCATATCATAGGTATTTTGGAGGTATTCGCCAGACGGAAGCCATTCATATCCCGTTTGAGGTGCGTGAAAATTGTAACCTGACATGTAACCAAAGAAAAAAATATATATATATATTAAAACGAAAAGATAAAATTAAAAAAAAAATTTAAATTGGGTGAATCGTGAAAATTGTTCAAATTTAGAGCTAGAATAAAATAAATAATTAAATATTCCCCGGCAACGGCGCCAAAAACTTGTTGGTCGAAAACCTACACGCAAGTGCACGTATCGTACAAGTAATATAGTGGACAATTAAGTCCGGATATCGAACCCACAGGGAATATTTAATTACTTAATCCTAGACGCTAAATTCTACCAATTATTATCAAGCCCACCATACACAGTCGACTAAGGATTAATAAACTAAATTAAACTAAATTAAAAACAAGCAAAAACAAGAAAGCAATTTAAAATACGAAGATTAATCAAAGTAGACAAGCCTAGGATTTTATTCTTCCCCCTATGTGATTATTACTCCCCCAATTCCTTCAATTATGCAAGCAATTAACCCGGATTATTAACCTGAGATGCTAAAATAATCATAACCCGCTTCCGCGTGTATTACAATTCTAATACTCTAGATTCAATTACTATATTCCTATGCAATTAATTCTAGAACAAAGCATTAAGCACAAATCTCAATAATGGCTACCTAAGAGATTAACTATATTCCTATGTTAATACCACAAAGTCTCTTCTACCACAGTTCTAATTATTAACCCGATCTTCCGATTCATGCGATTAACAATAACATAAAAGCGCATAAAGTGGCCAGTTTCATGAACTTAATAAAACAAGTAGAAGAAATAATCCGGAATTAAAACTTGCATAAAATCATAGAATTGGGTTCATAAATCCCACATAGGGTTCCAAATAAAATCCTAGAAATAAAGACTTAGCTACTCGTAATTCTTATGATAAAGAAAATAAAAGAAATAAATTAAATAAGAAAAACTATGCTTGAGTCTTCGTTGATCTTCGTTCCTTGCGTTTTGTGATGTAAAATTTTCGTGCTTATGGTGTAGGGACTTGTTGCTTTTATAGGCTTTTCTTGATAAGGAAGTAGTAGAAACCTAATAGGAATCTATTTCCGCCACTTTTCTCCACCAGGATTTGTTCTTGGATTTTCGCCATGTTGGAGTCCGAATTTAGGAATGTTGCGTAAATAAGAGTTGTAGCCCTTGAAATTAGCTTTCCAATGCCGCCAAAATCAGCTGATTTGGAGTTCGTATGAGAGAGATATGCTCGAAATGGTGGACACTGCCAAAGCTGTGGCGGGATTCCTTCTTCCAATTCGATTTATTTCCTTATTTGCAACTTTTTCCTTTCTTTTTGATCTTTTTTCCTTCATGGACACCTAATTATCGTTTTCACCTATAAAACACAAAATCAATCAATTAAAAGCACAAATATAATTAAATCTAAACAAAAGATCCACGTAAAGTAAACGTATTGAGCGTAAAATTTACACTCAACATTTCCGCCGGATCAACCCCGGCCTAGTTCACGTGTTCTATCTTCGCAGGTATCTCAGGGCCATCTAGCACATGAGCAGTGATCCACTTTGCTCTCCCAGCTCAACTACTTAAGGTGATCTATTTTTCAATTATTAATTAAATAATTAAATCAGTAGGGATTTAATCCAATTCGATATAGAAAAGCAAACGAGGGCATTTGTGTACAAAATTGGTTTTTCTAATTGTTCCATATATTACGCCAAACAGAACATACATAACTATTTGTGGAGTGGAGTCAATAGTCCACTGGTAAAGACTTTAAAGTCAAGACATATATTCAATTAAAATCATAATTTCGTAGCATTTTCCTATCCTTTTTGTCTCCATTTTATTCAAAGTCTCCGTTGACTCAATTAAGACTCATTGGCTAATAAATTCCACACTATCATTGTGTATATATTATTTTGTTTTATTGCAATTAATGCTCGCTAGTTATATCGAATTGCTAAAAGAACCACTCAACGTTATTTTATTGGTTTAATACCCCCAACAATTTAACTTTGTTAGCGCACAACCCCTAAACAGAGTACCAACTGCCAAAAAAATTAAATTATAAAGGGATTTTACCAATAAAATAACATAGAATACTTTTTTCGATATAACACAGGGTACCAATTGCAATCTACTTTATATTATATTATATTATATATATATATATATATATGAAGAGTTTATGAACATTAATATTGCATGTAGTCATGGTGAAAACTAATTGTTGTTACAGTCTTGCATATGCAAAAGGCCTCCTACTACTATTAGTGGCTACATACTTCCAAACATCATATTGCCTAGCCTTAAATTCGACGACGGATCAATCGACTCTTCTCGTCTTGAAATCTCACATCGTTTCCGATCCATATCAAATACTTTCCGAAAATTGGACCGATTCAAGCTCCCCGTGCAGCTGGATTGGCGTCACATGCGGCTCACGCCGCCACCGCGACAGAGTCACTGCACTGGATATTTCCGGCATGAGCCTCTCCGGCACCATTCCACCGCAAATAGGAAACCTCTCATTCCTCGTGTCACTCAATCTCGGTGACAACCTTTTCAGCGGTGTTATTCCTCAACAACTATCCTCCCTCCGGAGATTGAAGTTTCTCTCTCTACAAAACAACGGTTTCACGGGTTTCGTCCCGAATTCTCTCTCTAACCTTTCGAATATACAAGTAGTAGATTTATCTACCAATTATCTGAAAGGGAATATCCCACGAGATTTGGGGAAGCTTCAAAATCTGCAGGCTTTGGCCATCCAAGACAATCATCTCTCGGGCGATATACCGTCAACAGTATTTAACCTCTCCAACTTGGAAATCTTGGCTTTCATGGGGAACGAATTGAGTGGCGGTCTACCGAGCGACATGTGCGTCAAACTTCCACTTCTTCGAGGAATTTACCTATCTCAAAATAAGTTGACCGGCGAAATCCCGTCAACACTATCTCAATGTTCGCAACTTCGAACCGTATATTTGACTTCCAACTCCATTAGTGGACATATACCAAAGGAAATCGGCAAGTTGAAATTTCTTCGAAACGTAGCTCTCGGAGGTAACAATTTAAACGGTACGTATTTCTATATAATTTTTCTATATGTATAATAGTACTATACGCACGTTCGATAACACTCGAAAATATTCCGAAAACTTTCTGCAGGCGTTATCCCGGAGGGGATCGGCAATCTTCAAAACCTGGTCGTGTTCGGAATTGAAAGAAATAGTATCACTGGTGCATTGCCCCTTGGTATTTTCAACATCCCTTCTCTGCAAGAATTATTCCTACACGATAATAAATTACGGGCAACCTCCCAAGTGATATCGGCAATCTTACGAGCCTCAAAACTTTGCACCTCGCTTACAACAATTTAACAGGTACGTACGACTTATTGGAGATATTAATATCTTCAATACGACTCCTATAAATTTTTATTAACCTATATATATATATATATATATATATATATATATATATATATATATATATATATATATATATATATATATATATATATATATGACTTTCTCTGGTAGGTGTATTCTCAAATAGAAATAGTGGTAAAAGCTTAGGAAAAAAAACTCTTATTTCAACTAGGGGTGTTTCATCCGACCGAATCGAACTGAAAATTCGGTACGTGCCGAATACCTAACCGATAATTCGATTTTACAGAATGCCGAATAAATTTTTTTTATATATATATATATATATATATATAGGTGATAATGATATCTATACTAAAATATATTATTTTAATACTACCAATTTATAAAAATAAATAAAAATTCAATGTTTTAAAAATATTTTTAATAAAGAAAATCGAAAATTCGGTTATTTACCGAACCAAACTGCATATTTCAATTCGGTAAACTGTATGAAATTTTGGCGTACAGTACCATTTTACTCTATATGATGATGCTATATAGCGATGACAACCAGTCCCACGGCTCGAGAGACTACCGGGAAAAACGAAATACGAAGCCCCTTGTATATTTTTTTTCCAAATAAATTAATCAACTTAATACATAAACTCAATAACTCAATTTTGATCACCAATAGAATAAGAAAAAGGAAATTTGAGTTAACTTTCTCTGGTCACCGATAGATGTTTTTTCTTCTTTCTTTCTAGACAATCACTCATGTAGTGGCCTTCTTTGTTGCAGTGCCAACACTTCTTGACACTATTGCATCTGACTTCCTTTGCAATAATTCCTTGGAATTAAGTGTTAGACTTTACTTCTGACATGGTAAGTGTTTGCTTCCCATACAGCATGGTGTCAACAAAATGCTCATAAGCTTTTGGAAGTGAACACAGAAGAATAATAGCTTGGTCTTCTTCTTCAATCTCGATTCTCCATAGATTGAAAAACTTATCCAAATCAAACTTGCTTGAACTCATGTTGCAGATGTTGAATGACCATCTTAACCAAAAGCTTAAGCTTTTAGTTGAGATGGTCATTCAACATGGTATCAGAGCCAGGCCAAATGAAAGGTCCTGAGTTCGAATCCCACAGCCACCCATTTAAAAATATGACAAGTGCAAGGCTTCAAATGTAATTCGCCTGCACTTGAGGGGGCGTATTGGAGATATTAATATTAAATGATACATTTCACTAACAGCTTAAGCTTTTAGTTGAGATGGTCATTCAATATTTCACTAACAGCTTAAGCTTAAGCTTTTAGTTGAGATGGTCATTCAACAGCAGAAACCAGTTTGATCTTCTTCCGGCATGGTTCAGGATCGTTTTCTTGTTCAATTGATCTGAGATGATCTTCGTTTTGAATTAATTTAATTCAACAGATCTCCACGCTCACCGCACCACTTGTTAAAGAATATTTGGCTTTTATGAATATTGTGTGAAAAAGTGTGTTTGTGTGTGTAATAGAAACCAGAAACTTAAATCAAATAATGAACACCAAATTTACCGTGGTTCGACTCAATAAGAGCCTACATCCACCAAACGATCCAAGAACTATATATTTATTAAGAGATTTACAGGTTACAATCAATCCACAATAATCTAAGACTAATTCACGCAGTACACCAAGAACACAAACTAAAGAAAACCCTAAACTGTTTTTCTCTCTTCAAGTATGTATCTCTCTTGGTGATTCTATTGTCTCTCGAAATCTATCTTCCTTTGCGCATAGCTCAAGGTTTATATAGCATTTACAACGTCCTTGTAGCTCCTTGGATGACTAGGAAAGATTCCTGCTGCAACAAGAAAACTTACATGAGTTAGGAGACTTGCATGGGAAGTTTGTCTCACAAGGTAACTCCTAAGTTTTCCTTCTCAGCTTGCAATCTCTTCCGTTGGATCTTCGTCTTCTCTTGATTATATACTTCGGAAGTTGAATCATAGACCAACAATGACTTTCAGATGTTAAATCGGATCAAGAATCATAATCTAACATGTATTCCGAAAAATCGAAACTTTGGAATTCTAAATGAAGAATATTGTTTCATAATTGAAAAATATTAGGATCGTAATAGGAGGAATTCAGACATCTCGTTCCAATTTCTACCCCTAGTTATGATGCGTGTTTGTGTCTGATGAGTGCGAAAAAATGTGTAATTGGGCTAGGGGTACTCATTTGGTAAATCTGTACCGGAATTACCAAAATTCCAAAACTTCGAAAATACGCGCGGTTTACCGAATCGAACACTTTTAAAAAGTTTGAAGTAGCATGAGCTACAATTGATTTCTCTAAGGCCCAAGAAGTGGCCTTGCCCATCTTGGGCTTGGCCCGGCCCAAAAGAGAGAAATTTTACATAATTGAAATATATTTTGGCGGTTATTTTTAATTTAAATTAAAAAAAAAAATTATTTATTCATTTTCATTTACAGTGTGTTTAATTTTGAATAACTGACAGGAGGTTTGCCGCGGGAATTCGGGAAACTTCACCAATTGGAAGAACTATTATTACAGTTCAACACCCTCGCTGGTTTAATTCCATCGGAGCTCTTCAACATGACGAATCTCCGAATCCTCGCACTCGGAGCCAACGGTTTTTTCGGCGATCTTCCGACTAATTTATGTTCCTCGTTACCCGCTCTCGAACAACTCTACCTCAGTTTAGGTTACCTGACCGGACCGATTCCCGAATCGGTCGGTAATTGTTCGAAACTCAAAAATCTAGAACTCAATTCCAACAAATTCACCGGCATTGTTCCTCAATCCCTCGGCAACCTAAGACTCCTCGAAACCCTCGGCCTCTTCGACAATAATCTCACGACCGAATCGTTTTCGTCGGAATTGAGCTTCATTTCTTCCCTGACGAATTGCAGATCTTTAAATCGTCTTGCGTTTGGGGATAATCCACTTGACGGCGTCATTCCACCTTCCGTCGGGAATTTATCGTCCTCGTTGCGAATGCTCCACGCCTCCAATTGTAAAATCAAGGGTGTTTTTCCGACAGAAATCGGCAATTTAAGCAACCTTGTGATTGTTTCTCTAGGCGGAAACGAGTTGTCCGGTAATATCCCAATTACTGTCGGAAATCTGCATAAGCTTCAAGGTTTGTACCTATCGAGAAACAACATAAGAGGTTCCATTACAGGGGGTCTCTGTGATCTACAGAGCTTGTTTGAGTTATATTTAAGCCGAAATGAATTGTCGGGTCGAATACCCGAGTGTCTGGGAAACCTCACATCACTACGAAGTCTCGTTCTACACTCCAACATGCTGACTTCGAGCATACCGTCAAGTGTATGGCGCAACAAAGATTTGTTGGAACTAGACTTGTCGTCCAATTTCTTGAGTGGTTCTTTACCTCCAGAAATAGGTAATTTAGTGAAAGCAACTTTGATTGATCTAACGATGAATCGGTTGTCGAATTCTATCCCAACCACGGTAGGGAATTTAATATCTCTGACCGATCTATCTTTCGCGCATAATGGACTCGAAGGTTCGATTCCAATATCTATGGGGAGCATGGCGAGTTTGGTGAATCTAGACTTGTCTTATAATAACTTGTCCGGTTCAATCCCGAAGTCGTTGGAGGCGCTTCAATACCTCGACTACTTTAATATCTCTTTCAATGCTTTCAGAGGAGAAATCCCCACCGGCGGTCGTTTCGGTAACTTCACTATGGAGTCTTTTAAGGGTAACAAGGGATTGTGTGGAATTCCAAGGTTTCGTCTACCACTTTGCCGTAGTATTTCTAAAAACAATTCGAGGATGAAAAGAGCACGTTTTGCGTTATTTATTCTCTCCGGGGTTGTTGTATTTGTCATGCTCGTCTCTTTGGCCTTCATCCTCTTTGTAAGATACAGAAGAAAAGGTAGGGCGGTTACTGGAATTGACGGGACCGTGGCCATTGTACCGCAGAGGATTTCTTATTATGAACTGTTACAAGCGACCGAGCGGTTCAATGAAACGAATTTGCTCGGGGTGGGGAGTTTCGGTTCTGTTTACAAAGGTGTGTTAAGAGATGGGAAAGTTTTGGCTGTAAAGGTGTTCAATTTGATGTCGTCAGAAGCTGCTTCGAAGAGCTTTGAAGTGGAATGTGAGGTACTGCGTAACATTCGTCACTGAAATCTCGTAAAAGTTGTTAGCAGCTGCGCCAACGAGGATTTCAAGGCGTTGGTACTTGAATATATGCCGAAAGGAAACCTTGACAAATGGTTGTATTCTCACAACTATGCCTTGGATTTAACGCAAAGATTGAATATAAATTATCGACGTTGCATCTGCATTGGAATATCTCCACCATGGCTATTTGACACCTATCGTGCACTGCGATCTCAAGCCCAACAATGTGTTGTTAGATGAAGAGATGGTTGCCCGTGTTTGCGATTTCGGGATTGCAAAATTATTGGGAGATGGCGAGAGCACGGTGCACACCGACACCCTGGCAACTATGGGTTACATCGCACCGGGTGAGTATTTTTTTCCCTTCATCGATTAGATTACATTTTTTTAATATTTTTGTTCTTGTTCGTTCAACGTTATACAGAGTACGGTTCGGAAGGGCTAGTTTCGACGAAATGTGATGTATATAGTTACGGAGTGATGGTGATGGAAACATTCACAAGGAAGAAGCCGAGTGATGATATGTTTGTCAGGGGTTTGAGCTTGAAGAGTTGGGTTCAAAACTCGGTTGTTCGCGAGTCGTCGAGCGAAGTTATAGATCCCAACTTATTAAATCCCGAGAATCAACACTTTGAGAAACAGTTGCAATGTGTGTCTCTTATACTGGAGTTGGCTTTGAAGTGCTCGGCGGAATCTCCCGGGGATAGAATAAACATGAAAGAAGCCGTAGCGGAGTTAAAAAAAATCAAAGGTCGATTTTCCCGTATAATGCCGTTTAACGATGCGTAATCTTAAATCTTGTCCTGATGCAAGCTTCAAACATTGTAAGCTGATTATTTGTCTGCAATAAACTTTGTAATAAGAATATAGGGTATGAACTCATTAAGAATGTACTCATATTTTACAAGTGGTTTTGTATAAATTCACATAGTTTTTATTTTATTTTAATTTGCAAGTCCTATAGTTTATGATTAAATTGAAATTTAGTGAATTATTGGGGCAACTCATAGGGGTAGGAGGAGTAATTAATTCCTTCAACCCCCACCACCTTAACATAAATTCGATTTGTCTACTATACAATGTTGGATTGACCTATTAATTAATTAGCTAATTATACAAGTTGATTATTATTAATGGTTAAATATCATCTTTTAAAAACAGTGATATAACAACCCCTGTTTG